TGGACGGGCACTGCTGCACTCCTTGAAACGGTATTTGCTCCAGGTTTCATAACCCACTGCTAAATCCCTTCTAAAGTAAAAGTGCAATACTTTTAATTGCCTGGGGTTAAAAGCAGGTTTAAAACGATGATAACCCGGGGTAAAGCTAGAAACAGCTCCATTATAGCCTACCAACACAAGCATCAGGTCTTACAAAATGAATTCATCTAGTCCAAAAGTAGAAAAATGTTTTTCAGTGTGAAGTATAGTCGCCCCAATTTATCTGTGTTATCTGCCTGTTACAATGTCATTTGTTGTATATAGTCTGTAATTCAAACACAAATGTTGACTTTTTAATCCTTTGCAATCACAAGCATTGTCTTGTACTTATTTTTTTTATTATTTCTTGTCTTTTTATTTTTATCATTGTTGTAATGTAAAATTTAATAAAAAATAAAAGTAAAACCAAGCCTATGCTGATGTCACCTTTAAAAAAAGTTGTGCCTGTCATGCTTACCACTAGAGAGCAGCACATACACATTAATGTCATTCAGAGCTGTTAGCAGTTCAGTATTATGAGATCCTACCCCACTGGCTTTATTGAAGTCAAATCTAGCTTATTGAAGTACAAGGCTCTGATGTAGCTATATGTGTATTGCCAAGTTCAACATTTAATACATGTTTGATGGACCATCATGAACAGTTTGAGCTAAAAATATGACACAAAATGCTGTCCATGCAGAGAAAAATGAAAAAAACATTCCATTACAGAGCTCTCCATTCTGAATGTTTATTGAATGTCTCAGGACTCAGGTCCTCCTTTACATTATCTTGATCTACTGGATCCCAATGAAAAAAGCCTAAAAGCAGTAAAACTCTTTAGAAATATTCCATGCATAGTTTTGTGCCGAATATGGCACTTGTGCCTCTAAGTTATATTCTACACAGCATCTTCCATATCCAGGATTGCTGCAAAAGTCTATACATTCCATTTCAACCTAATGTACAGTTATGAGTCTACAAATCAACTACCTGAAAATGTGTAGAGGAAACGTGCTATATCAGCTGCACACATTTCTGTTCTGCCATTTGACTGCGTTTAAATTTGTGGGCTAAAGACTGCTGAGAGAATTCATGTGTTCCAGCAGCAAAAGTCTGTGTGTCTCTGGCAGTGATGCTGCTTCAGGAAATGATGCAAGCAAAAAATACAGAAATGCGGATTGGTTGGCTATTCAACGTCCTGCAATGAAAAACTCCTTTCTAATGGATGGTAGTTCCACAAAAACATTGTCTACTGTTGATATGTTGAACGTGAAGGGCTGTGATCCTCAAATGTTTGTGCTCAGAGCAAATCATCATCATCATACTAATCAAAATACTGACACAAAGCAACATTAAGCACTTACATTCTACACAGAATTTACAATACCATTCATTAAAGCAAAGACAAACATAGTCAACAAGGACCAATGGTTTCAAAATTATGAGATACTAAGTCAAAATGAGATATTAAGTCACAATTATGAAATCATGATTATGACGGTGAAGGTTGACCTTTGTAATAATTATGATTTTTATGTCAATTATGACTTAGTATCCCGTAATTTTGACTTTTTGTGTTATACATTTCAATGTTTTTATCTAATAATTGCCTTAGCATGTCATAATTGTGACTTTTTCTCTCAGAATTATGAAATGCCACAATTATGATCTTTTATGTGACAAAATGGTCGCGCTTCGTTTAAATATCGACTCGTCTCGTTCCTCAATGTACCATCCACTCTGTCCGGAATAGGCTTTTTGTAAGAATAATTTGGTCAATTCTGCAATGCTATCAATGCATTTTCCATTAATTTCTGTTTGAACTATGTATTTTCCCCTCAAACGTTGAAATTAAATACAATGCAAGAGTTTCTGTGACTGTACTAAACTCACAAATATTTAATGAAGCAGGCGCTATTCAGGGTTATGATTGGTTATTTGTTGCTAAACAACTACCTGTTATAGAGAGCAGCAGTCAAAATAAAAATCCTAATTTATTTTCTCCACGGGGAACTGATTTTTAATGATTTTAACTTATGAACTGCTAAAAACAGATCTATTGTGAGGCTGTTAATTGATGGCATTTGGTGGTATGTTGTTAACCTCATGTATCAGCATATATGAGATGCCTTTGTCGTTTATTAGTGGAATTCCTAGTGAAAAACTACATTACCCATGATTCTTCCACCAGAAATGTCCACCAATCAGAGAATCACTAGAAGAAAATTGCACCAAAAAGACCCCTTATATAGTTTTATATTTCTCCATTGTTTTTTAATTTGATTGTAGTTGCGATTGTAGTTCTTGTTCTCATGAAAGCTGTCTGGCACTTTTATCTTTTTGTCCGATGTTCAAATACTTTGTTTTATTCAAATCAAAGTTTGTAATGTTCTGAATCACCTGATAGGTTTCATAGCTTATAATTCTTTAACGAGAACTAAAAACCCCCATAGGAAACCAAGGGCACTAAAAAAAAAGTGGACGGGCACTGCTGCACTCCTTGAAACGGTATTTGCTCCAGGTTTCATAACCCACTGCTAAATCCCTTCTAAAGTAAAAGTGCAATACTTTTAATTGCCTGGGGTTAAAAGCAGGTTTAAAACGATGATAACCCGGGGTAAAGCTAGAAACAGCTCCATTATAGCCTACCAACACAAGCATCAGGTCTTACAAAATGAATTCATCTAGTCCAAAAGTAGAAAAATGTTTTTCAGTGTGAAGTATAGTCGCCCCAATTTATCTGTGTTATCTGCCTGTTACAATGTCATTTGTTGTATATAGTCTGTAATTCAAACACAAATGTTGACTTTTGAATCCTTTGCAATCACAAGCATTGTTTTGTACTTATTTTTTTTTATTATTTCTTGTCTTTTTATTTTTATCATTGTTGTAATGTAAAATTTAATAAAAAATAAAAGTAAAACCAAGCCTATGCTGATGTCACCTTTAAAAAAAGTTGTGCCTGTCATGCTTACCACTAGAGAGCAGCACATACACATTAATGTCATTCAGAGCTGTTAGCAGTTCAGTATTATGAGATCCTACCCCACTGGCTTTATTGAAGTCAAATCTAGCTTATTGAAGTACAAGGCTCTGATGTAGCTATATGTGTATTGCCAAGTTCAACATTTAATACATGTTTGATGGACCATCATGAACAGTTTGAGCTAAAAATATGACACAAAATGCTGTCCATGCAGAGAAAAATGAAAAAAACATTCCATTACAGAGCTCTCCATTCTGAATGTTTATTGAATGTCTCAGGACTCAGGTCCTCCTTTACATTATCTTGATCTACTGGATCCCAATGAAAAAAGCCTAAAAGCAGTAAAACTCTTTAGAAATATTCCATGCATAGTTTTGTGCCGAATATGGCACTTGTGCCTCTAAGTTATATTCTACACAGCATCTTCCATATCCAGGATTGCTGCAAAAGTCTATACATTCCATTTCAACCTAATGTACAGTTATGAGTCTACAAATCAACTACCTGAAAATGTGTAGAGGAAACGTGCTATATCAGCTGCACACATTTCTGTTCTGCCATTTGACTGCGTTTAAATTTGTGGGCTAAAGACTGCTGAGAGAATTCATGTGTTCCAGCAGCAAAAGTCTGTGTGTCTCTGGCAGTGATGCTGCTTCAGGAAATGATGCAAGCAAAAAATACAGAAATGCGGATTGGTTGGCTATTCAACGTCCTGCAATGAAAAACTCCTTTCTAATGGATGGTAGTTCCACAAAAACATTGTCTACTGTTGATATGTTGAACGTGAAGGGCTGTGATCCTCAAATGTTTGTGCTCAGAGCAAATCATCATCATCATACTAATCAAAATACTGACACAAAGCAACATTAAGCACTTACATTCTACACAGAATTTACAATACCATTCATTAAAGCAAAGACAAACATAGTCAACAAGGACCAATGGTTTCAAAATTATGAGATACTAAGTCAAAATGAGATATTAAGTCACAATTATGAAATCATGATTATGACGGTGAAGGTTGACCTTTGTAATAATTATGATTTTTATGTCAATTATGACTTAGTATCCCGTAATTTTGACTTTTTGTGTTATACATTTCAATGTTTTTATCTAATAATTGCCTTAGCATGTCATAATTGTGACTTTTTCTCTCAGAATTATGAAATGCCACAATTATGATCTTTTATGTGACAAAATGGTCCTCCATAGATGTTCCTAAATAATTTAATGTTGTTATTTGGAGATTTTGTAAAGCTGTTCAGGAAACACACTGACCAAGCAGGACTAGCATCTGTGGGATCCAGCATTCCTCACTGGTGCAGTTTTTGTGCAAAAGCAATATTCTGGGCTCTGAATCACGCTGAAATACTGACACTTTTTATTATCCTGGTCAATATTTCTTTATTCCTCAATAAAACTGAGTCTAAAATGTATAGCTCTTCGTCATTTTCTCATCTCAGTTAGAAGTTTCATGTGCTAATACTGTAGGTGAGTATAACACGGCCTGTAGACAGAAGAAATAATTATACTTTCTTCAAAATGGCAGGAGTAATAACAATGTGCTTTTCCAAACCCCTTCATTTCCACTTTCATTCTTCATATTCAGTGACTGTCCAACAAAAAAGTATATGAGGAAAAGTTCTGTGCAAACCTTGAATAAGGGAACACAGTCACTGAAAGCCCTTGTCATGTTCTTCACTCCTTTGGAATGCTCTGAAGATTTGAAACACATCCTCGCTTCACCAGAACGCTCAGTGTTGACATACTGGACTGATAACAGCACACCTTGATTTCATATCTGACAATGAATGTTTTGAATCGGTAATCCAGCGAGACAGTCCTATCCTTGCTGCAGTTTGGTTATAAGTATCAAACGTAAAATGGTTCTCTAGATGGTACTGGGAAATCTGACATTGATGTATGCAGTCTTTGCAGTTACTGGTTTAATAGACACAGACAGCACTGTCGCTGTTCGGAGATTTTTGTTTGGACTTATTGCATGCTGCCATCTAGAGTCGGTAGCTGTGCGGTGTTCTGGTGGGTTTTGGAGAGAGGGTGGTCCATACATGTGGCCCGTCATGGCCACAATTCTTCTACCTCAACAAACTGCAAACAGCAGGACTTGTCAGGAGGACTGCATGAGGCCTGTCAGTCGTTTACTTGTCAGAGACTTGCCCTGAAACACAATTGTGTTATTATTAAAAGTGGTCTTTTAAAGAGTACCAGTTAAAAAATTGTGGTCTTGGATTTGACTAATAATATTCAGCAGCAAATTCCAAATATAACAAATAGTACACACACATATATATATATATATATATATGGAACCCTTTGAGAACCCTTTATGGTTCTCAGAAAATATCCAATTTTCTTCTGGTCTGATTACCTTCCAGAAAGCCCGATTTTGAATTAAAGTTCAAAAAGAACTGGCTATGGTCGTTGTGCCACTCACCACACTGCGAGTGAATTTCTCCAGGGATGTGCGGCGGCCTTGCTCAGTCTCAGGCTGTGGAGCCCAGGTTAATGGAAGGGAATGGGGAAGATACAGTGCACAACACCAGGTTAACATGTGTTAGTAAAGAAAAGTAGGAAGATTAATGTTAATCTTAAATAATCACAGTGGGGCTGAGACACAATCAGACTGTAAAATGGCTCTGAAGTGAACTGAAGTGCCCATGTTTAGCCATTACATGTTGTCAGTAGAGTAAGTAGGCCATTTGATGATAAGCACATATTAAGTTGGCTTAGTGTGTTTTAATAAGTGCAAACTGAACACTGAACACTCGTTTGCAAGTGAAGAAAAGGAAATGATTCAATTCAGGACTGTTGTTTTCAGCCAAAAAGAAACTAAGGCTTGAAATATTGTCTCTTAAGAAAGAACTGACTTGGAAAAATGTGCTGAAAATGTAATCACCCTCAGGTAAGTTTGTTTGTTAGAATAGATTTGGGGAAATTTTGCATTACATCACTTGCTCACCAGTGAACCCTCTGCAGTGAATGGGTGCCATCAATAACAAAAATGCTCCCTCCTGTGAAAAACTCCATCCCCTGTCCTCTCACATCAAAATTAATCTACATATTTGTTCAGGGGTGTTTTCGACTGTTTTTGCTTGTAAACAGTGCTTGATATGTGCCTATTTCTTTCCTGATTCTGACGAGACAACTTCTTCATTGGAGAAAGCAATATAATGGATTGTAATTTAGCTGGAAGCAACAGTTTGAAGACAAAATCATGTCTTAATGATTGATTCGTTTCTTACAAACACACAGCTTTTCACTTTACAAGACATGAATTGATGGACTGGAGTCGTGTTGATTACTTGTGGATTATGATGTTTTTATCTGCTGTTTGGGCTTTCATTCTGACGGCACCCATTCACTGCAGAGGATCCATTAGTGAGCAAGTGATGTATTGATTAATACCTCTAAATCTATTCCGATGAAGAAACAAACTCATCTACATCTCGGATGACCTGAGGGTGAGTAAATGTTCATTTTCAACTTTCATTTTGGGGTGAACTATTCCTTTAATGGAAAATGTCCTGGCAGAAAATGACCAGTATCTTTTGTTTTTCCACAGTTTTTTTCCCTTGCAGTACTAGGGTCACACTGATTTTTGTTCTTATGGCTGAATGGTTTGTGGAAAAGAATACTGAGTGATACTGAAAACAAAATTGCAGAAAAATTATTCAGATTCATTACACGCGGCAGAGAGAGATTTGAGATTGAGACTAACCTTCTTTCTGGCCAGCAGGAGGTCCTGGTAAGCATTGGAGCGCAGGAAACGAGGGTAGCTGTCACTCTTCATCAGCTTGTAGATGTGGTCCTGAAAGAGAAAAAACATTGGAGGCTGACAGTGAGTTTGCAGCTTGGATGAAAGGAAAGCGCCTCATTGCAAAGCAATGAGAAAGAGCCAAGAATCTTCTGAAAAAAGACTTTCTGTCCTCATGATCCTGCTTCTGTTAACTTTTCAATCATGACTTCACAAATGCAAACAGGAATAAATCTGTAGGTTCTCCCATTGGAAAAGGCAATCTAAGTCTGATAAAACATATCTTGCAGCAGGATTAATGAGACTTCGCTGCTGCCAAAATAATGTTTTACCTAAGGAGATGAAGGTGCATGTTTTTTTTGTTTTTATTTATTTCAAATAAAGCTTAATTCACTTGACAGACTCCTAGCAAGTATCTTGACAGACTCTAAGCAGTAATGTCACAGATTCTGTAACACATTCTTCAGTTATTCTACTTTGAATTTTCTGAAAGCAGTTAGCTTGTAGTGACAAGTTTCTAGAATAAAATGGTTGAAATTTTTTTATAATTCCAGAGAGACTTTTCACCCTGGTTCTGAGCATTGCGATGCCTGTTATTCTGTCTCTTTCATCAATCATGTAAATGTAGATAAACGAAAGAGACAGACATAAGGCAAACTCTTTTGAACAGAGCTGTGAGGACAAGGACAAGGAACAGATTATCCATCGGCATTATTGTACATCAATAAAATACTTCCTTCAGTGAAAAACTCTCACATCAAAATCAATCTACAAATTTGTTTCGGGCTGTTTTCGACTGTTTCGTCAGTGTTTGATATGTGCCTATTTCTTTCCTGATTCTGACGAGACAACTTCTTCATTGGAGAAAGCAATATAATGGATTGTAATTTAGCTGGAAGCAACAGTTTGAAGACAAAATCATGTCTTAATGATTGATTCGTTTCTTACAAACACACAGCTTTTCACTTTACAAGACATGAATTGATGGACTGGAGTCGTGTTGATTACTTGTGGATTATGATGTTTTTATCTGCTGTTTGGGCTTTCATTCTGACGGCACCCATTCACTGCAGAGGATCCATTAGTGAGCAAGTGATGTATTGATTAATACCTCTAAATCTATTCCGATGAAGAAACAAACTCATCTACATCTCGGATGACCTGAGGGTGAGTAAATGTTCATTTTCAACTTTCATTTTGGGGTGAACTATTCCTTTAATGGAAAATGTCCTGGCAGAAAATGACCAGTATCTTTTGTTTTTCCACAGTTTTTTTCCCTTGCAGTACTCTAGGGTCACACTGATTTTTGTTCTTATGGCTGAATGGTTTGTGGAAAAGAATACTGAGTGATACTGAAAACAAAATTGCAGAAAAATTATTCAGATTCATTACACGCGGCAGAGAGAGATTTGAGATTGAGACTAACCTTCTTTCTGGCCAGCAGGAGGTCCTGGTAAGCATTGGAGCGCAGGAAACGAGGGTAGCTGTCACTCTTCATCAGCTTGTAGATGTGGTCCTGAAAGAGAAAAAACATTGGAGGCTGACAGTGAGTTTGCAGCTTGGATGAAAGGAAAGCGCCTCATTGCAAAGCAATGAGAAAGAGCCAAGAATCTTCTGAAAAAAGACTTTCTGTCCTCATGATCCTGCTTCTGTTAACTTTTCAATCATGACTTCACAAATGCAAACAGGAATAAATCTGTAGGTTCTCCCATTGGAAAAGGCAATCTAAGTCTGATAAAACATATCTTGCAGCAGGATTACTGAGACTTCGCTGCTGCCAAAATAATGTTTTACCTAAGGAGATGAAGGTGCATGTTTTTTTTGTTTTTATTTATTTCAAATAAAGCTTAATTCACTTGACAGACTCCTAGCAAGTATCTTGACAGACTCTAAGCAGTAATGTCACAGATTCTGTAACACATTCTTCAGTTATTCTACTTTGAATTTTCTGAAAGCAGTTAGCTTGTAGTGACAAGTTTCTAGAATAAAATGGTTGAAATTTTTTTATAATTCCAGAGAGACTTTTCACCCTGGTTCTGAGCATTGCGATGCCTGTTATTCTGTCTCTTTCATCAATCATGTAAATGTAGATAAACGAAAGAGACAGACATAAGGCAAACTCTTTTGAACAGAGCTGTGAGGACAAGGACAAGGAACAGATTATCCATCGGCATTATTGTACATCAATCTCCCCAAATAGCCCAAAGCCCTCAAGTTCCTCTTTCATCATTTCAAAGAATGAAAAAGATTCTGCCTTGGGCACAACTTGTCCCTAAGTGCAGCTTTCATACTTCCTCTGTCCATCAAAAAACCTAAAAGCCCTCAATCATCTGTGAAAATGTGTTTACACAATGGTTATTGGACATTAAAAAATAATAATATACAATTTTCCTATTTAGTTCATATAGTACGATCATTTTCCCCAAATGTGCAGAAAGGCCGTAGAAATTGTTAAAAGGAACAAAAGCCATCAGTGCTTGAGCTGTGCTTCCTGTGACAGTTACTCACCTGGGCATCTTCAAAGCTGTAGCGGCCCGGGTCTTTTAGATTCTGCCAGATCTCCGGAGCGCGAGCCGCCACATCCTGCAGGGGGCGGCACTTTAGATCCTGCACAGCCAACCAGAACCTAAAGAGAAAACAATAATAAATGTCAGCTGTATGGAGTATTGACCATGGGAGGATGATGCAAATCAAATTAATTTTAACATATGTAGTTTTAATGTAAAAATAAACTTTCTAAATATGTACACCACCATTTGAACTTTCTATTCATCAAAGAATCCTAAAAATTTTTTATCATGGTTTCCACAAAAAAATTAAACAACACAACTATTTTCAACGTTGATAATAAGACGAATTTTTTTCTGAAGGATCTTGTGACAATGAAGACTGGAGTAATTCAGCTGAAAATTAAACTTTGCCATCATAGGAATAAATTACTTTATAAATATTTAATAAATATTTTAAAATATATTAAAATAGAAAACATTTATTTTAAATTGTAATAATTTTTCACAATATTACTTTTTTACCATTTTTTTTTTTTTTTAAAGGCATCTTGGTGAGAAAAAAAAAGTAAAATCTTCTTTCGAAAACATTTAAAAATTTTACCAACCCTAAACTTTTGAATGATAGTGTATATATTTTTGTTCCTATGCCAACATTTTTGACGCTGGTCAATGGCATCATGATTTTGTTCTCATATTTTTGTGTTCTACCTCAAATTTTTGTGGCTTAACGTGAGGAATATCGCATAAATGTGTCAATACATAAAGTTATAAAAAAGAAGAAAAAAACCTTTAGGCATTTGTTAAATTTTATGGTAAACGAGTAAAGGCCAGATTATCATTCCAACAATCTGATTTCAATCATGCATTATGTTGCTGTTCCAAGTTCAGTCCCCAAAGCTAATTTTCACTCCCAATTAGCACTTGGCGTGTGTTACTTTTGGACCCTCTTTACATCGCTGATGGCAATGACATTCCCAAACTCCTGAGTAACAAATACTGGGTTAATTATGGAAGTCAGCACATGCACTGCACCTGCCATGACAGATAGAGGAAAGCAATCGCCCAGTCACTCTCATATCATACTTGCTCTGTAGCTCTATAGATCTATGCAGTGTAGAAGTGGTTTAGGCTCTAATGGGCCCAGGGGAGAGTCAGGCAGTCAAGAGGACACATCACTTTCACTCTCCTCACATACTGGCAAACATAAGACAGCCCCCACAGAGGCTATTAGATGCCTAGCTGGGGGATACGTGGAGATACGAGAGAAAGAGAAGGATGAGAGATGCATTGAGACAAGCAGCATTTTCCAGTGACCAGGTCATTAACCAGTGACCTGCGTTATCTCTGCAGCTCCCTTCGGGGCCTCGCTGTCCTGGTTGGGCGTCTCCTGGGGCCCACCGCTTCATTTGCCCCATGATGCCCGTGGTTTGCAGTAGCTTATCACAATGCATCAGCGATCAGGCTTTGGAGGTTGTAATGATCATGTACCATCAGTGAATTTACTCGCTCTTTCTCATCAGTGATATTAAAGCTTGAGGTCTGACCTTTTGCTTGTCCTGTTCTGCTACATTTTGTGCAAGTCATTAAAAGTGGAGTGGGAGGTTAAGAGAGAGGAATGAGTAGGAAGGGGAAAATGTCACAGAAGTGCAAATGAAAGGAGGACGGAGGAATATGGTGATGGAAAGCTCACAGCAGGTTCTCGGAGCTGAATTCGAACTCCAGGAATTTAAGAAACTGCTCACGGCCCACTGGGTCCTTTAAAGCCTCGTCCAACGAGAAGCCCCACTTCTTTACTCGCTGTTGACTCGGGTCCTTACTGAGACAGAGAGACGGAAAGAGAAAGACAGTATTTTATTTATTTAACTTACATTGTTCTTTGCAATATCTACTGACAGCAGCTAATGCTTTGACAACACAATGTTCCATTGTTTGTCATATTAACAAGACAAGGCTGAAAACAAAGAGAGACTGTGTGTGTGTACACAAGATCACTTAATCACGTCTAATAATATCTTGTAAATTAGTGTTTGAATAAGTAACAATATGTAAACCACCACAGGAATGCTAATGATTTAGAAAAACCTAATTCCAACAACTGTTAATTAATATGATAAGGCAAATTAGTCAACTTCATTTTTGCATAATTAAGTGACAAGAGTCACATTGTTGAACAATGCGATCAGATGTATAGAAAGAAACCCAGAAATGAAACACTAGGATGAGGGTGTGTGTGGGAGGTATTCCTTAATTCCTGTCAGGGCATCTTTGAGGAGCTGTGAGAACGGCTCAGGCAAGTGGAGCTGAAGGAACCTGCAGTGTTTTATAGAATTCAAAACAACATAAGGACTTCAGCAGACTTAAAACTACTTGAGATATTCAGAACCAGTTACTACATTAGTCACAATCCTAAAGAGAGGTCCACCAATCAGAGTAGACACTGTTACTATGGAGACATGACACTTGCCCTGCGAATAATGCCATCAAATCAGTCTCCTCACACTCTCAAGTTCACTGTCCTGTGTTCTCAACTAGAGTTTTTCTAGCTTTCTAGTTTCCTAAACACATCCTGGCTGGGATTTCTAAATTGTTTAAAATGTCCAGGTTTTGGCTTTGTTTTCCTATTGACATGCTTTAGGGTCCTCACACATTACATGTACATGTATTTGCAGTGCTTTGACCGTTCTCTGTAGATCCCACATTCTCGCACGCCACGCTGGGTCGATTATGTACAGTACAATGCCTGCATGCTATTTGTCAAACTACTTTTCAGTCATTGCTTTCAGCAAGCAAAATGCCAGATTCACAAATCAAATACGTTCATATTAACAGATTACAGCATTCACAATTTGAGCTTGGGCTGTGTGGTGTCGCATCCCAGATTTCGTCCCATTCATCGAAATGAAAACACCTCGCTCACGCAGTATGTGTGAAACCGGCGTACAAATTTGGGATCACATTAGCCAAAGAAGAGCGTTTGTAAGCTAAATTAACTAATTCAAACACGTTACAATAAGGCTAGTTAACATTAGTTATCATGATCCAACAATGAACAGTACTTATTTTATAAATGTGTAATAATTGTCTGCGGACCTCAGTGTTATTTTAGGATTGACCTCAGTTTGAGAATAAATCGAGTAAGAACAAAGGCACAACATAACAGTGACATAAGATTTTTTCTAAATAAAACCAAAAAGAAGCATAACAACAAAACAGATAAGAACTTTTTGACAAATTAGCAACTTAATTTTCTCAGCAGCAGTTACAAAGACTCTTAAGATATTAAGTGAAATTAAGAAATTTAGACATCCTGATCCCTTCTCTCTTCTAATGAAAACTAGACTACAGAAGAGAGGAATCTATAAAGAAAGATGTAATATTTAGGTTTTCATACCTGGCCTCTAGCTCCCAGAATGTGACATCATCACTGATCCAGGGGTTAGCTGGCTCTGGTACTGTCACAAAGGGGTCATAGTCAAGATACTGCTCTGTGTAGCTCATCAATCTGCAAAAAAATGAGTTGAAATCATGTTTATATTACATATTATTATATAAAAGTATTTTTGTCTGTTTTTCATTATTGGAACCAAATGAACTGTTTTCACATATGCATTCCTCCGCAAAAGTGAACGGTACACTGTACTAAAATACTCTGACAGAGTTTCCCACACAACTAATTCAGTGGCACCGCAAACCTGCCACTGAATCTATAGCATGAAACTTACTGTGATTCAGTTCCCGAATCAATGACTCTTATGAGCCTGATTTTGTTTAGTTTATCAAAAACAAACATCGCAACAAGTGTAGTCTGATTTCCAAATTAATAGCTTTAATAAGTGAGTTATTTTAAATGAATCAAACACATACAGCTTATAATGTAACTGTTTGTTGTGAAATGAAATTTATACTATATGGCATCTTGTATTTAAAGATACACATAATTAGTTTTGTCTGTAGCATTTTATAAGAATTAATAAAATATGTTGACACAATTTTAGTTTTCATACTGTTGTTTAATCTTCATAGTTACTGCCAGTTACTCGATTGCAATAAATCATCACCTTGGAATTATAAGCTTCTATCTGCATTCTGAGCAGTTTTGAGATATTGAGGTTCGAAGTTTTTGCATTCCATATAGTGATATGGGATATGGGGAACAAGTCTCTTTCATACATCAGTCCCAAAATGTACACAACTTAAAGAAAACATCACAATGTACACAACATCACAATGTTGTCACAGAATAAGAATATGTGAATAACTCAATTTTGACAAAAATTGCAGATAGAACCTTATAATTCCAAGGTGACAAAATGTTGTCTCTAAAACAATTCTTGTGAAAATGTTTACAACAGACTTTACAATGTTTTTAAAGGTCTCATCATTTGGCAATGAAATTCCATTTCTTACTAAAAGAATCATTAATGAAACCATAAGAGGAATCAGAACTGGAACAAATAAATTCTTTATGATTCCCATTCTTAATTATTATTTGCAAGCATTAATATTTGCTGAGAAAAGTTTGAGTTTCATGGACAGATCAAGAAAGAGGACTTACGTCTCAGCGACTTTGGACATTTTCATACAGTGTCGATCCAACTGAGTGTTCAAGAACAGAATCTGAAAGAGACAGAATACCGTTACTCACTGCATCTCTACTTGAGCATGAGAGTGATTGTGCTAAATATTAATAGCTGCTGTGAGGCTGTCAAGAACCAAATTCACAGCATCGCTCGCACACACATCTTTCTCTACGTCCTCTCTGGTGTCCTTGCTGCTCTGCTGGGAGGGTGTGTGTACAGGACTCTGAGTCTGTGTGTCATCCACTACCCCATACACTGACTGCGAGACAGAGACGGAGATGGGTCACAATACAATCAGACACACCCTCTGTACACAAAGCACACACACTAATACAGTATAAGCACCTTTTTCACCCTTTGAGGATTCTTCAGGCGACGACACTTCCTGATGTCCATCTCTGTGGTGTTGACACACCCAGGCTGTGAATCACAATCACATGTAAATCAGCCATATAAAAAAATTGCTGATACGCTGATACAAATTGCTGATACAATCATGATTCACACAAATTGCAGAATCCAATAATTACACATATTATTTCATTTTCTTTCTTTAAAAAAAAACTGAATGTGTTAACTATGCTGTGTTTACTATGAAAACCTGAGATTAATCACAGTTAAATATCTGCTAAAACTTTACAATAGGGTTCTATTCATTATACAAGTTATTGGAATAGCTAAAATGAAAAAGGGATAAAGGGATTGTTCACCCAATAATTTAAAATCTGTCATAATTTTCTCACCCTCATGTCGTTCCACACCTGTATGACTTACTTTCTTCTGTGAAATATGAAAGAAGATATTTTGAACAATGTTAGTTACCAAACCGTTTTTGTTACCATTGACTTCTATTGTATGGGCAAAAAGCACTGAGACATTTCTCAAAATATCTTCCATTTGTGTTCCACAGAAGTCAGAAAGTCAAACAGGTTTTGAACAACATGTGAGTAAATGAGAGAATTTTCATTTTTTGATTGAAAAATCCCACACTGGATCCAACCCTCACACACCACGGGACGGTGAACATCCCAGAAGGCTCTCTCTTGACTATCCAGAATCTTTCTCTCCGTTTTGTCTTTTTTCCTGTCGATCCTACAAAATCAAAGAAACACAGAGTAATATTAATAACATTAATATTAAACAAAGAGCAGGAAACCTTCCCAATCCACACACTCACACGTCCTGCCTCACACGTTAAAACAGACAAAGAGCAAAGCCCTTGTGCTCATCAAAGTTGCAACCTGCCTGCGAGCAGCGCTAATTCATTTCCATTCCTGCCACTTCACTCTTACGTAACTGACATTTGCTGCATCACTCTCTCTGTCTCTCACTTATCCTGGTTTTGAGCCCTGAGACTCTTTCATTCATCTCTCTTGCTCTTCTGTTCTTGCTCTCCCCAAAATTGGGGTTTTCGTCATGAAAAGTGTACTGCAGACAGTGTGATGATAGAGACAGACTGATGATCAAAAATCAGAGCAGGGTTGACTTGTGTTTGCAGCCCTCGGCCATCAGATGAGGCTCTTCAGCTGATGTTTGAAGAGCGAGAGACTGCTTCAATCAGTGTGGACCACTCTAAATCAAACACACATGCTAATATGTCTCGCCCCTAACAACTGCACTTCAGCAATATTATTATGTTACATCAGAGTTTGTGTATATACAGTATGTCTTTGTGTGAATGTGTGTGGGCTTGAAAACAAAGGGTAGATGTGTCTTCAACAGAGAAGAGAGCAGGTATGAGTGAGAGCAAGTGTTTGCGTAGTTGTCCTGACAACAGCACTTACTTGACCTGTGCCTCAGCCTGCATGAAGATGAACTCCCACTTCCTGGCAAAAGCCCTCTGTAGTCTCGCTAGATTCTCCTGAATGAGAGAGACAGAGATAAATGAGTGAAAGAAAGAAAGAAAACTAAAAGAACTGAAATAGAAAACTGTTATTTTAAATTGTAATGATAATTCATAATATTATGTTTTTTAACTGTAACTTTGATCAATTAATTGCAGCCTTTGTGAGCACATGAGAACATTTAAAATCAAACCAACCCCAAATTTTATATAAAATAAAATTCTGCATATAAAATATATAGAAATGTATATTAAATGTATATTTTCTTTTGAAATGTCTTATTTGTTTTCTTTCTTTTATATATAAATATAAATAAATTATAAATAGTAATTGATTTTTTTCTTTATAGTATAACAGCAGTTTTGCAAGTGACCAAAATTTTTGGAAAGCATAAAGCATGCTGACTTTGATGTCACAGCTCAGGATAGTCACTAGCGAAGGGCCAAGTGAAGTGACTGTGTGTGTCACTTCAGTCCATCTGCAAGTCATGATGCCATTTTCCACAACAACAACAACAACAAAAAGTTCAGAACTGAATGTCCATGTGCAAAGATGGAAGCAGGTATTACAGAGGTCCTTGTTTGGGCCACTTAAAAAAACAACAACAATGTTGATAGCGCCACAGAGTTTACACTCTTTGGGGGAATCAATCTACAAATGGCGTATTTATCGTTACCTCTGCACATAAAGCAAGGACAAGAGAAAGTATCATTGGAAAAAATGGCATACTTCACCTTTAATTCTCAATGACAAGGGCTCACAACTGGTGTTTTCAGGTATAAAATAACTTGACGTATCTGTCAATACCTGTGAGAATCCAAACTGAGATGCTTTTGCTGGCAAAACACTTTTGCTTCCATTTTCTCTGTCGGCTGTCATCGCAGTGGGTCACTTACCGCCTCATAGTCCGCCAGCTCCAGCCGGGTCTTGTTCTGCATGGTCCGCTTGCACAGATAGATTGCTGTGATAGGCAACAGAGAGATAAACAGACAAGAGGCCATAAGAGACTTGGCCTTATCAACTGTCATGTATAATCCTACCCCTACACACGCACACACATCCAGTGTAAGCCCTTGATTGGATTTAGTATTTTCATCTGCATCTATCATCTCTGCTTGGCCAGTTCACAGAAAGTAGGAACTATGAATGAGTCACCATTGACCAGGAGTGAACATCTGCCCACAGTCAACACACTGTCATACACCCACTAATGCTCTGCAGTTCTCCCTGACTGTTCACCTGTCCAACCTGTAATAATCCTGGGAAAGCAGATTGTGGGCTGAACATGGGGCGTCCAGCGTCTCTGGGACCTTATGAGTTATGTTAGCTCTCTGAAAAAGCATCTACGGTAAAGCTCTGTGTGCTCTTACGTCACTTTGAGTCTGCCCAGCAGGGTCCTTCTCTTACCGTAGTCTGTGTTCTCTGGCTCCCAGCAATTAGAGGGCCAAAAGTATGGAGCCTGGGTGAGAAGGAGAGAGATTATTACTCTTGAGTTTTGTACATTTGTGCAACTGAAAAATTGAGTAGGCAGACTTTGGAGTATGAACATAAACTTAATCTAGCCAAAATACATTCAGTCATGCTGCTCATTTCTCATTTCTGTAAAAACACTAATAATTGAATAACACTATTAAATGTAATATTTAGCACATATCATAGTAAAATTCCTTTGTATACTATAAAAAATGTTATGATGCCTAAATTTACTTGTATCATTTAAAATGACAGATTTTAGTTTTTTTTTCCTATTTAGACAAAATCTGTATTAACATGAAAATACATATCGGCTTATTGCTTTGGCTAGAATTTTAATATTGGTGCATAATAATAATAACAATAATAATAATATCCTTATTTCCCTCAATAAATGTTTTTATTTAAGAACATACAGAGTATCTTAAATGTTATAAATATTCTGAAAATTCAGAATATTCGGAATCTTAAGTATTCTGGTATCACAAAATGAATCATGGTTAATTAACTTAATATACAGTTTCTGTTAATAAAAATGTTTGAAATCAAGCAACACTGTCATACTAAAAGCAATGTTGGACAGCGGGGGGCCTTCGAGTCAAAAATGTTGAGAACTGCTAATCTAGACAATATCTGCATATTTAGATACAGTGATTGCTTCTGGATTGTCAGTAACTACTTCACTAATTTATTTGGATTCTGTTTAAAATCAGGTGTGAGTTTGAAAGAACTAAGAATTTCTTGTCTGCCTCCTGCTTACTAGCCAAAGCTGTAGCTGAAATTATGATTCTGTGCCGTGCAGTTATTATATGAAGATATTCATGTTATAAGAGCTATTAACAACATTTGTAACAACTAACTCTCTTGCCTTTGTGGAGCCAGTCTAAAAGACTACAGGCGGCACAAAGCAAATGATGGTGCATTGAGATCATTATTGTCAGGCAATGAGCTGATGAGCCATACTCCAGAGAAACAGAAACACTAATTCCCTCCTGAGTAATTAATGAACGTACAAAAGAAGCTCAGATTCATTCATTGGCTTATTGATACTCTATCATGCTTATTGGAAAGATAGCCTAATGCCATTATCTGAGAATTTGGCTTTTCTCGTAAAACTCTGGATAAATTACAGTTGGTTTGGAGGTTGATATTGAGACTATATTAATTAAGCATGATACTTTAGTACTGTAATGGAGTATTGATGCATAACCATTACACATGCACCTACATTTCATTGTATTTTAGTAGATGATTGCATGTGACTGATTTTTTGGAGGGCTCTTTAAAGACGAATTCCAGATTGACATGGTAAACATGGTGGATCAGTGTCATTGAGTGCCTATGAGTAAAGTTGGCAGATTTCAAATCTCACTGTCAAGCTCCAGCTGAGCTACTGCCATTGAGATGAACGGGAATGCAAATTGATAGCTTTCTCCAGGTATTATAGAGATATTTGGCTGAAGAGAATCTGTTTAGTGTTGCAATAATTTCCAAATGAGATGACAGAGCTTCTCACAGCTTTAGCCAGCAGTGCTTCTCCTGAGAAACATCAGAGTTACGTGAGCTAAAGAGGCTCAGAGGAAGACGTGCCTTTGGTCATCTCCTCACTAATCATCTAAATCATTAAAAAATTAAGGATCGGCCTTTACCAGATAAATATGCCCCTATTTCTGGAGGACATACTGAGATAAAATATTATTTAACACCTTAGATCTTAAAAGTACAGCAATAGACAATAAACATAACACACTACTGTTCAAAAGTCTGAGGTTGATATGATTTTTAAATGTTTTTTAAAGTCTCTCAATGGTTGCATTTATTTGATCAAAAAACAGTATAAACAGTAATATTGCAAAATATTATTACAATTTAAAATAACTGTTTTCCAATTGAATATATTTTAAAATATAATATATTACTGTGATGGCAAAGCTGATTTTTTTTTTTTGTGACATGATCCTTCAGAAATCATTCTAATATTGATCTGCTGCTCAAGAAACATTTCTTATTATTTCTATGTTGAAAACAGTTGTGCTGCATCATATTTTTGTATAAACCGTGAAACATTTTTTAAGATCAAAAGAACAGAATTTGTTTGAAATAGAAATTTTTGTAACACTATATTGTAATACTGATCCATTTAATGCACAATGCATCTTTGCTGAATAAAAGTACTAATTTCTTTCAGGTTGTGTATATATAGTGTTAAATAAATCTCAGTAATGTACTGCCTGTATAGAGAAGGGCTTAATAAAGGCCACTGCACTGATCAAACACTGTCCTATTTGCTCAGTAGGTGCAAAGGTCTGTGGAGCTTCTTCATAGTGTGTCTTAGGTGTGATTTCCACAGTAGATTCAGAATCTCAGCAGTGCTGAAGTGAAACAGGACCACATTCTGGAAACCACAGCTGCCAGGATACAATCCACGTGACTTTTATTTGGTTGATGGTAGATGGATAAGCTCACCTGAAAGCGGTATAATGTCCCATCATCCTTGAGGGTAAGAACATGATCAGAGATGGGGAATATGTAGCCTTGGGCGGCGATCAGGCTGCCGATGTGTATGGCCTCCGCTGTAAATACATAAATTAATGCATTTGCTTTCACAAACAATTTACAGTCATTAATAAAACGTGTATATGTCTTCATATCAACACCTACCAGGATCATCTATGATGAGGTTCTTCATCATCCACTGAACAATGTCAGAACCTAAAGTTTAAAAAGTGGAAACATATCACCTTATTTTCACATGCAAATTTATGCATAAATTACATTCACTTCCCAAAGCCTTGATAAAGATCAAAATCATCAGTGTGTCAAGACACGTTATGGTTCAAGATTCAATGTGTGTCAGATCAGTCCAGCTAAATCTACATTAGCACCACTTCAATCATGTACAACATCAATGTTTTAGTTCCAAATCAGCTATTAGTTATCCGGATGTGGGCCTGCAGGCATCCATTTAGAGCTGCTCACTGTAGTAATTGTGTTTAGCATTATGTGCAAATCAAACAATATCTTCAGGTTTATTCTCTTTGAGGGTTTATACAGACAAGTAACTGTTCTTCTAGCATTCCTTATCACACACTAAAGGAATCTGTGAATCTGTGAAAGTGGTTAGTAGGATCGGTGGAGACCACAGGGGCGTATGGCTCCTGATCCACCCTCTGATCTATGAAATTCCCTGGAAAATAGCAACTAAGCACAACCCTGTACATATTTTATCAGCACTGACAGTGATATACATTTTTAAGAACATATTTTTGAAAGCATCATTAAGTGAAATAAGAAAACTGCTATTTTAAAAAGGTGCACTCAGTAACTTTTTCCTCATTCATAAGTTTTACTTCAACTGTAATGAATAATAATTTTTTAATAATAATTAATAATAAAAAAAAAAATAATACATTCACATCTGATGAAGACTACTGTGAACCTATTATGAAACACTTTAGCTTACAGAATAAATTAATCATGTCTGACTGCTAATAATAAGAGAAAAACATTAATCTAAAAAAAGAGCTGAATAGAGACACAAACAGCCGGATGTGAAAACCAAATATTACTGGCCAATAAAATAAATAACTTGAATTTCATAAATAAATAAATATAGATATATGTAAACAAACAAACAAACAAACAAACAAACAGACAATTGTTGCAGTATTCATCTTGTTGCTAGACTGATTTTCTACAATTTAAGCAATTAAGCTAATAAAATCATTTTTAATTGACATCCCGTGGTAACTAGGATTTACACAAGCTTCAGTCTGGATCCAGAACACCTGAGAAGAGATGATGCCAACCCCTCAGAGGACCTCAGATGATGCCAACCCTGAAACAACATACAGAACTACCACATTTTGCTATAAGTTTGATTGCATCATATAATAATTGCTGTTAATAGTGTTCATCGTCTGTTTTATTACGTCTTAAATTGATTTTTCCGTACTGCTGGTTCGTCTGGTCAGAGGAGAACTGGCCCCCCGACTGAGCCTGGTTTCTCCCAAGGTTTTTTCTCCATTCTGTCACCGATGGAGTTTTGGTTCCTTGCCGCTGTCGCCTCTGGCTTGCTTAGTTGGGGACACTTCATTTCCAGCGATACCGTTGACTTGATTGCAAAGATACTATTTAAACTGAGCTGGATGTTGACATCACTGAATTCAATGATGAACTGTCTTTAACTGAAAAATTTGTGTTTACTATTGTCATTTTGCATTATTGACACTATTTTCCTAATTAATGCTGTTCAGTTGCTTTGACACAATCTGTATTGTTAAAAGCGCTATATAAATAAAGGTGACTTGACTTGACTTGACTTAAAATCAATATTTCATGTGAATGCATTTGTTTATTTACATTGACTTGAGTAAACTGTATTTTCACACACATACTGTATGATAGCAACGGTCATTGAAAAACCCACATACTTAAGGTTTATTAAATCACACACCAGTTTAGACACAAACTGTCCCACTCCTGCCAGTATACCTGTAACAACGCTGGGAATCTTGGACAGGAAGCTCTTAGAGAGAGAGAGAGAGAGAGATAGAGATAGATAGATAGATAGATAGATAGATAGATAGATAGATAGAAGGTGCACAATGTCAGTCACACAAACACTAAACACCATCATGTTAACACACATGATACTGAAACAATGCAATAAACATTAATTTAACAACATTAGATGTAAGATAAAACCCTAATGTACACAACTGATAAGAAAAAACTAAGAAGAAAGTTATTTCAACAAAAAAACAAAATATGAAGTGTCATGCAGGGAATTCTGGAAATGTCAATTTACGGTTTTTCACTGTAAATTATACAATGACTTTTTCTTTTTCACTTCTAAAACCCATAAATTTTAATGTACATTAAATGTAATTACAGTTATTCACCGTATATAGTATGGAAACTTACGGATAACCAATTAACAGGTTTTTACTGTAGCATTTTTACAGTCTTTTATTCATTCATTCTTTCAGTCTTTTACTGTTAAAATCACAATACTTTTTTTACATTTTTGCTGCGTATAGTGTGCAGAATTCAGCAGAAAATGAAAAGAATTCAAACACAATGTTTTGTACATCTATGAACACCATTTGCACATTTATCAACACCATTTTTGTAATATCCATTTAGGTTTAATAATTCTCAATAGATTGTTCCTGATAATAATCATTGAATGCACTACCAGTCAAATGTTTGGAATAATTAAGATTTTTAAAATGTTTTTAAAAGACATCTCTTATGCGCAACATAAGACTTCATTTATTTGTAATAAATAAATGAATTAATACTGTGAAATATTATTACAATATATTTTATTAATACTAATATTTTTTTACAATTTTATTTCCTGTGATGGTAAAGCTGAATTTTCAGCAGCCATTACTCCAGAAATAATTTTTCACATAAATAAATTACATTTAAAAATGTATATAATACTTTAAAAATATTACTGTTTTACTGTATTACTGTATTCTTGATCAGATAAATGCAGCCTTGGTAAGCATAAGAGACATCCTTCCAAAAAAAATCTTATTCCAAACTTTCGAACGGTAGTGTGTTTCAAATCCCACATTAATGAAACCACTCAATAATCAATACTACTCAATAGTAAACCAGAAATCAACTCTGATTCACAGTCAGTTTGAAAGCACAATGCTAATTTTATTTCAATCCACCATTAGACTTCTGTTGGTCTGGTTATTTTACAGCTTTTTCAAGCATTGTAGTATCACATTCTAACCAAACTGTTAATCATAACAGGTGTAAACACACACCTACGTCTACTGATCACATTACTAAATGCATTAAGTATCCAATGTGCACAAAACATAGGCCAAATTTATTTATTCCATGTCTATTTATATTGTTGTACAGCCACAGAAATGGTCATTTCACTTGTGATGGGAACATCTGTTCTCGTTCCTCTCTGGTTACGCAGGCATCTAAGTATCGGTGGAGGCCTTTGGAATATACAAGCTCACACCTACGGTCTATAAATAATCCCAGCACTGATGAAAACAGCTTGTGGTTTTGCAGGAGAGAGGGAGCGTAATGAGATTAGGTAGCGTTCTCTGCTTTGGAGATTGCATGTTGTCATCACTGCTCTGTGGCGCTCAGCGCTCTTATTTTTGCACGTGTCGTGTAGGAGGCGAGATCTCAGTTGCTTCGGAGACATTTAATGCATACAGTAGCTATATATAAACAATCAAAGCCAGCCCCCGACTCCTGTGAGCCCACGACAACACTACACTGCTAAAATAAAGCAAAGCCACTTCACTTCGAGCATAAAGAGAGGGCATTTACATCATCAGCAGTGTCAAACAAAACATACAGCTGTGCTACACGAGGACCCGCCCTCATTATCCCAAAAAACACTCTAGTCATCCCATCCATTACCACATGAGACTAATTTCCCCTCTCTAGCCATGAAAGCACTTCACTTCGTTTAATGCTCTCTACCTAGTGGCTAAAACACGAGTCTATGGCGCAAACTATTCTAAATGGGTCGATAAGTGTTGGCCTGAGTCCCAAGAGAGATCCTGGCTATAGACAGACAACACTGCCAGCCAGGAAGTCCACCTCTAAACTCTAAATCAATACAGATAAAATGCTACATAGTGTTTAGAGGACAAAATGACATCTATCCCACAGACTCACACCTTCCTGCCCCACAAAATTCTCAAGTTTCAATAAGGAATCGGTGGAAAAGTAGGGCTGGATTATGGACCAGATGGCCATTAGGGTCCCATGGCTCCATATACAGTGAGACTTGACCACTATGGCCCTGAGCCCCACGACTACTTTTAGGGGCCATTCACACAGAATGCCTTTTCCCATTTAAAACGCAAAAAAAGAAAAATAAATAAATACAGAGGAATGAAGACAAAAACAAAAACGCATGGTCTAGAGACATGATTTTTGAGTGAAGCTAGTTTTTTTAAGTCCATTTTGTTTTATTTTGTTCGGTTTTCACAAAAATATAAAGCAGCACAATGGTTTCTAACTTTGATAACCAACAAATCAGCACATTAGATGATTTCTGAAGGATCATGTAACACCGACGACTGGAGTAATGGCTGCTGAAAATTCAGCTTTAAATGCCGCGTCATGCAAAATGCTTAAAAAAAACACATGTACAACAGTCAGACACATCTGTCTAGTGAAGGTTTACAGTACATAGAAAAACAATGCAAAAGCCTAAAGCAAAAAAACAAAAACACATTCTTTAGTCTAATCTAATATCTAATAAATATTAGGCTATTTGTATATCTAATAGTCTAATCTAATATTTAACCTTACAAAATATGCATTTTATAATTTTGCCAAATCATCCTTGTTGCTTAAAGTAGGATACGTGGTCTGTTACGAAGGCCAGCAGGGCCATCCCCGAGAAAAAGAGAAAATTTTGAGCAAATTCGCACTCACCATCACGATGAAGCCATGTATCTATCCTTAATGAGAGTGAATGCCATTAAATGAAGTTAACAGATGTCATGCCTTATCTTTCTGAGAGACGCTCTTTACTCTATTTCAGTACAATCAGCAGCACTCACTAGAGAGCTCTTTTTAGGATGGGCCCTTGTGTTGGCACCATCCCAAAGAGCACTTACGTATGTCATAATCTGTCAAAACACTGTGTCGAGTTCTTATTAGGTTATCACAGTACCCTCCCACTCAGAGGCCACTGTGGCGTGTGCTAAATGTAGCAATTAGCGCTCTTGCTTCTTCAAGGAAAGCTGGTGAACCAGCCTTCAGTTCGGGAAGTGTCTGTAATCATTGGTAACAAAGGTATCAAGGATATTCCGATGCCCTCTCTATTCTTGGATTGTGCACACTAGCAGAGAGATGAGTCCAACTGTGTCTTGATTTTGCTAGGAAGCTATACAAGTCTAGCTTTAGAGACTGGCTACCACCACTCAGGGAGCAGCTGACTAGATGCCAGATGAGGAACTCAGATAAACTGACAATCCCCAGATGCCGAACAGAAAAATTCAGGAGATCACCTATCCCCTATATGTGTAAACTTTTAGAACGATTATGGATTTTAAAAGAACTTTGTGTATTTTGGTAATGCTTTAGATTACAACCCGCAATGTACTGCGTAAGTAAACAGAATTTACAGCGTAACTTTTTTGTAATTACTGTGTACCTATTCAGTACCTCCGTGTAGGTATATGGTAACAATATGCGAAGTTTGGGGAATAAAGGAGTAATAATCTGTAAAATTACAAATTATTTCTACTGTAAGTATTTTGAAACTAAGTGGTACCTATTCTAATATTACATGGTATGTATGACCTAACAATAATCTTATATTTGCAAGCAATTTAGCAAAAACATACACTGTGTACTTTTTTATAGCCTGCACATATAAAACAAGCTGGTAATTGTTTCAATCCAAACGCTCGGTTGAGACTGTTGGGTTAGGAAGCTGGCTTGATTTGACCCAATTTGGGTTGATATCAGTAATAATAAGTAACCCGACGTTGCTGGGTTATGAATGTGGAGGACGTGAATGAGAGCATGCAGCAAGTCACGTGAGTTCAAACGTGAACGGCTCTGTATGCGACGAAATCCGTGACTGCGGTGCTTAAGACGGGAACACGTGTGGAAAATAGGAGAAAACTAATCGAAGCGCAGACGAGGGACAACTTTGAAACTGTCTGGAGTGTGTTCCTTTAAAACTGGATCAGTGAATGTGGTGAGTGCGAAATGGAAACAGAATGGCGCTCGAGACGATCGAGTCAGTGTTTGCGGCGCTCATGACAGGAATATGTGTAGAAAATACAAGAAAACTAATCGAAGCAAAGAGGAGAGAGATTTTTGAAACTGACTGGAATGTGTTCTTTTAAAACTGGAGGGTTTTGTCCGAGTATGTTCTCACAAGCAGCGACTGATGAGCGGTAAAACCGGGAACTGAACCAAGTCACAAAAATGTACACCGTAAATTCAGTATACTTACATAGTTCTTTGTGGGTTGTAATCTAAAGCATTACCTAATCATTTTCTTTAGGAGTGTTACCGAGAAGAGAGATCCTCTCCCAGGAGAGTTTGCACTTTTCCCAGTTGACCTGAAGGCCCAACCGGCTGAGGTGCGAAAGCACCAAGTCCCTGTGTGCACACAACTGA